ACATTCTGGGTTATGTAAGTCTGAAATAAATGTTTGACAGTTTCCAAAGATGTGAAACTGCTTCTATAAGTCTAGCTGTAAGAAATTCTGCAGTGTCTTGTATCACCACTGTACAACAGATTATAAAGTGAAATGTATATGTAGTTACAACTGCCCACCACAGCCACAGTCTTACACAGGAGAATAATTAAAAAAAAAAAGGCTTTGTTGTAAATATTTAGCATTTGAGCTTTTACAGTAAAACACACCTTACAGGGTCAAATACAGCAGAAACTCAATGTACGTCAACATTTTGTCAGATTTTGTGCAGACAAAATCACAACAGGTACTCTACATGTAATTTAATATCAGGTCTAAGTGTTACTGTGTTAGTAAATACATAACTATAGCAAAACGAGGCTCAGTATTTTCACATTTCAGTCACTAAAAACTACCTCTCCCACCTTGTTGTGTCATTTCTGGGGGATGCAGCCGATGACAGCATACCAGCCAAAATTCTGTCGTACAACCGAGCCAACCGTGCAGTGGCAATCCTCTGTAATCACCAGAGAGCTCCCCCAAAAACATTTGAAAAGTCCATGCAGAACCTTCAGACCAAGGTCAGCCCTTTCTGCTGTGTTCATTTCCCTCCACCAGCAATGATGTCTTGTTTGCATTCGAGAAAAGTTTGATTTTATTCGAGATATTGTGAAATATAACGATAGTCCCTCTCTGTGTGACGCTGATGTTCTACTTGTCTCTGTGTTGTGATTGCAGATCGACGAGAAGCAGAATCAACTGTCAACAGCTAAGAAGCAGCTGAAGGCTGCAAAGGCTGATCACAAGGCCTCTCATGATGAAAAGAGCAAAAAGTAAGAACCAGTGTGAGATTCTGTTACTTACTTTCTGTAACAACTTTGTCCTCTCTGTGTTGTATTCCTTCCTCTGCCTGTCTTTGTGTGTCTCTCAGGACTTTGGAGGTGAAGCGTAAAGCTGTCCAGAGGATAGAGGAACAGCTGATGAAGCTACAGGTGCAGGCAACAGACAGAGAGGAGAACAAGCAGATTGCTTTGGGCACGTCCAAGCTCAACTACCTGGATCCACGCATCTCTGTTGCATGGTACTTACACCACACAGCATGGGTTTTCAACAAGCGCTAACTGTTTTAATGATCACAGGTGTCACAGCTTAAAAAAAAGGGACATTCAATGAGTATACCGCCTACTGTTTAATAGGCCTGCCTTTCTCTGGGTGGGTGGGTTTGTATCCACCTTGGTGACAGAAAGGCAGGAAGTGCTCTTGCATAGTAGGAAAAGGAGCAGCCCAAGTAAGAAAGCTAACGGCTGCAGAAGGAAAATAAGAGGAAGAAAAGCGTGTGAGCGTGAGGAACAATGGGGTTTGTTTCTGAAAGCTAGGGAGCGTCCCCAAACAGCTCTCCTTCCTCTATGTGTGAAGTCAGTGAGGAGCTGTCTGTGGCCGAATGGCAGGCCAGGCCACAGAAACATGGGGGAAAGCAGTCAGCCCTCCCTAACCCATGTCCTACTGCTATTTATGGAGAGCCTCCTCCTTAAGCACAATGGATACAGGAATGCTTCATGTTTTTCCTGATTGTAAGGCATAAGGGATGGGGTCCCCGCTTGTAGGGTGGTGCTTGGGAACCTGCTCTGTTATTGTATGTGTGTTAGTATATGTAACAGAGATGACAACATTGAGTGACATCAGGATAATGCTACCTGGGCTAAAGCTTTGTTATGATTATTCAGTAACCTCATAAATGAACTTACTTAAAATTCTAAATAACAACTACATACATGACAGTATCGAGCAGTGTCATTGAAATTGAATCAGCTGTTGGCCAGCTACTTCAATGATCCACTTAAGCCAAATGAGTTAATTCTTTCTAATTTCAATACCACGATGTCTGAAAAGTCTATTAGCTGTACGCTCTGCAGTGTCCCTTTTTAACGACTATTTGGCAAGTACAAATATTTACAGCAGTTAACAAGAAGTAACTTAACAAGAAACGACAAGGCATTTTTCAGAGAAACAAAATGACATATTCTTTATCAACATTTTTAGAGATGATCTGTAGTCCAATCAGTCCGTTGCCAAGTTCGGGAGCTCTTATTCTTTCTTCACTTTATATTATGTAACAGTAGTCTCTACTAACACTGTCTTTCACAGTTAATTCCAGCTAATGTGCATTTTTTAATTTGACTGTAACCTTTTTGGATCATTTTGTTGGTTTGAATGTTCATGCAAAATGCACAGTTGATACTTAAAACCATTATGAAGGCCATGTCAGTGGGAAAGTGATCCAACATCTACTATAGACTTATTTACTGCAGACTCTTGGGTCTTTTATGAAAGAACATCCACAGGTATAATAAAAAGCCAGTGCATCACAGTGAGTTTATGGGCCACTTAATGTAACTGCACTGTTGTTTACATTGTGCTGCAACTTGTACTATGTCAAGTCTTCATGAAAGTTCCTCTACAGTGAATATAGTGAGCAGTGGTGCAGCCATTGAGTACATTCACTTAATCATATCTGTCACTTAACTTCTTTTCTTTCGCTCCAGGTGCAAGAAATGGAGCGTCCCCATTGAGAAGATCTACAACAAAACCCAGAGGGAGAAGTTTGCCTGGGCTATTGACATGGCTGAAAAAGACTATGAGTTTTAAACACCTAATGTTTGACCTTTTCTATTCATGCCTTTGATTGTAAAGATGGTTTGTAGTTGATGTCAAACAATACCACTGAAGTGGTTAACTGCAGGGCTGTGAAGGAGGAAAACTTTGTCAGAGTTATGACCACAGTTTAGTCATGTTGCTGTATAAATGGTTTGGTTGTGAATATGAGCATAAGAGCATAACTCCTGCACCATTCGACCAACCTGCCGTAGGGCATCTCTTTTTTAAAAATGAAATTACAGTAGTGTGTATGTAGCTGCAGTTTTCTGCCCATGGTCAAACAACAATGAACACATTGGTTATATGTTATGTCAGATATGACTACTGAGATTTTTTTTAAGCAATCAGACTTATTGAGAAATTCTATATTCTCATAGAATAATGAACTAACTAATGTGTGTGTGGGAACTGTGAGGAACGTTGAGTGATAAAAGGATGAATTTCAATTGGTTGGATTTCAGTGTGGAAGATTGGTATAATAAAATACACCAGAAAGACTGACGACAGCGTGAAAAAAAAGAAACCCTAGCACTATGCTCATAAAATTATTAGCACACCGAATGCCATCCTATTTTTCACTGTTTATTTCAGGGATGTACATATTTATTGTCATGTTACCGTAAAAAAACAACAATGTTTTTTATTTCTAAAATGTGTAATGTATGCATTTTCAACATTAAGCTCTTACTTGCTCATGCAACTCCAGTCAGTGTCTGCTTCCACAGTGTTGCAATGAACAAGACGTGACATTCCTCTTTGTTACTTGAAACATTTGAAATACTGCATAATGTTTTTTGTGTAAGAGCTGAAAGAGTCTTGACAGAGGTGGTTTCTGAGAGGGATGTGGATTTTTTGCCAAAAAAGAGTCACAGAAGTCTATCAGTGTAGTGTGTTGTTTGTTTTTGTATTGCTGTGATTAAGCAGGGCATGTCCTGCCTTAACTCATTTCATAATGTGAACGGATATTCTAAACTTCTGACATTAGTATTTCTTGCTATTTGATCATTTATCACACAATGTCTGATGGGTTGAATGCCTATTGTTTTGAGCTTTGTAGTTTTCAAAATAAAACATCGACCTTGTTCCTTTGTCCTCGCCTTCTTTTTTTATTGTATGAAAATGAGATTGACACAGAAATTCCCTGATAACACAATGAAAACTTTATCTTGTCAGTGACTAAATTGGCAGTAAGGGGCATGGTCTAAATTACCAACAAAGGGTCTTAAAACAATTAAATATTTTCGTTGTTTTCAACTTAATATTTTTGGATTTCTTCGTTTAAGCTACATGATCAAAGGCAGTGTAATTTTCCCATGGGGAAAAATGTTCAGTTATTTGATCATTGAAAGAATATACCCAAAACCGTGGGCTTTGATTGGTTACGTTAGCATTACGATCAATGGGAAGGGGAATAATGACATATTTGCCTGTAACCTAAGTTTGGTTGCACGTTATGTTGAATATTCAATAAATTATGAAGTACAGTAAAAGTAGACGGCCTGCTTCTTTAAGAGGCGGATAACAGGCGCTTCTACTGGAGTGATGTGCTTCGTCAAGATAACGGGAGAAGAGTCAGATTACCGGATAAAGGGGAATTACATCACAATAAATGCATTGAGGAACGTGTTCTACATCCTTTCAGTTTTTCCCTTTCACTTCCTGATATTTGTGCATTAAACATATTCTCAATACTTTATAATGTAAATCTTTGCACTCTCTTACTTATATTTTTTTTTTGCTGCAATATTCGTCAATATATATTTTTTCATCTTGAGTTCATTGTATGCACATCATATAAGGTTTTGCAATTCATTCAATTCATATTGTTTATTCATTTGCATGACACTTTGTAACAAGATCAATTCTCATTCATCCAGTTTTGGTCATTTTCAAAAGATTAAGCAATAATGCACTTTGTGACACATGTCGAAGTTTTAATGCACTTTAAGCAAAACCAATATTTCCAGACCAAATAACAGTTCAGAGTTGTATGTCCAGAAATATTTGTTGACTGTGTCCACATCTTTTTTTCTTCTTCGTTTAAAAAATAATAATAAAATAAATAAACTTTAAGGCCTTCCTTGTCCCACAATGATAAATGATAAATCAATACATAAAAAATGCATTTTTCAACTCCGCACTGTCTCAAAACACTTGCGCAACAAGTTCCCTTACATGTCTTTTATTGTGAAAGGCCTCAGCGGAAGTGTGATATGACTTCGGTTACCTTGACAATTAGCTGGCTTTTGGGGGTGGGGGGGGGGGGGGGGGGTGAGGGAGGGCCTGCGCTGACTGGATCTGAGAGTAGACAAACTTGCGTAGTCTTACCACGGTCCTCGCTGACTGCCTACCTCTCTCTATGGACGGCCGGAGGGGTGAAGAGGAAACGGGGAATATCGTCGCTGGGACCGCTGCGCCTTTTCAGTGCCGGGCCATGATTTGATCACGGAAAACCGGGGAGTGGGGGGAAAAAAAACGGAGAAGAATAAAGACGACGGGAGCCCGAGAGGAGAGAGAGAGAGGAGCCGCCGTTGGAGATGTGCTTTTGGGCCGAGATTGCGGCGCTAGGTACAACACAGCAGCCCCTGCGACGTGTTGTTTTCCACTTGATTGTTGTCCGCACGGTAAGGCGAAAACAGAGCAGGGGGGAAAAAGGCCACTACTACTTTTTTTTTTTTTTTTTTTTTGTGTGTGACAGGTAAAAAACCAGCAATGGTTTCTCCTTCTGGCCCAGAGAAATGCTAGCTCATACCGGCCCCGTTTCCACGCTGTGAAAATAACCAGACGTTTCTTGTTATCCCACTCTGCTGCCATTCGCCACAAGTTGTATTCCCAAATAATCTGCTGGTATCCAAAAGGAAACTTTTCTTTTCCTCTGGGACGGACTGCAGCAGGTTACAGGCCTGTTGTTGGGTAGTTTTTATTTTATTTTTATTTTTAAAAATAGCCCAATTCTGACTTAACCTCGCCGTTGTAGGATTTAAGATAAAAACCACGTTAGAGAGAGTTAATCGTCGTGATTAACGTAATCAACACGTTTCAAGGTTTCAGCTGTCATCTTTATCACGTCACAGTTTGATGAACATCATAATGCAGCTCCAGTGGTACCAATGAGAGAAGCCTTTCCCCGTATGGAAAAATCGATATAAATGTATGAAAGTCAAAATGCGTCTTATGCCAACTGAGTTATCATTTTAATAATGATGCATTTCATGGAAGATAGCTGAGGAATATAACGTTTGCGCCGTGTTGTCACACCAGTGTGTTATACTGTTGTGTAAAACAAAATTGAAGAGTTCACATGTTGTTAACACTTATAATTTTACGAGACATTTAAATTGACTTTTTTTTTCAATGTATAGTATTTTTTTTCACGTGTGAAAATTAATGGAAATATTTTGTTTATGGTTATTATTCGGAATACATGTGAAGTATACCAATTAGTTTCTTGATTTCATCTCTTGCATTCTTTTTGTTGTTGAAGTGATATGTTGTAAGTTGACACATGCTTTTATAAGAAATCGGATGATATTGCTAACTGTTTTTTTACAAATAAGATGATGTGGGTTTTTTTGGGGTTTTTTTTTTTACACCAGGAAGATACAAAGTGATTGAAATGTAGAATAGTTAAGTATTCTTTCATACACATGCTGACATCATATCTGCTGGTGAATTAGCGTGTACCGCAAATGTAGGACATCTTTAAGTGTGTCTCCTGATAGTGCGGACACTGCTGTATAATTTGTGTACAGTATGGACACACTAGAAGTCCTTGGGGAATAGTTGTTTCATGGGTATCCCCCCCCCACCCCCTCTCTCTTCTGCTGCTGTAGGTATCCCTGTCTAGGCCTGGACTGAGCAGATTGTTCTGAGAGGAAACGGACAACAAACGGGGGAAGTGAACATGGCTGGGACCTCGGGCTTCTTTTCCAACGGACCTATTCCGTGGATGGACAACGACACAGAGATGAACAACCTGTACCGGGACCTGGAGCTGGGGACGGTACTGACGCTGTTTTATTCTAAGAAGTCCCAGCGGCCAGAGAGACGGACATTTCAAGTCAAGCTTGAGACCAGGACTATTATCTGGACTCGAGGCACGGATAAAATCGAGGGAGAGAGTGAGTAGCATGCATTACAATTACAAATGCGCACACACACACACACACACACACACACAGAATGCTGGCTAGTGCTGGTTGGTTTACATGCGCTCAGAAACACAAGAGTGTTGTTAGGTTCTTGAACGGCTCAAAGGGTAAAATGTGACAAAGAGTAAGTTCAAATAATTTTGTTGTAAATAGCTGTTGCTGACTCTAATAACTAAACAATTTTTATTACCTGTTAAATCATTTCCCAAAGACAGGACAAGACTCACGTTTCGATACATCACTGAAAAGAAAAAAACCCTATACAACGCTCAATATTGATTTCCTCCTTGATTTCATTTCCTCATAGTTTGCTTTTCCATCTCCCGTATTTGAACAGGTGACTTGTTTTTTAAAAAAATGGTCCAATTATTCGTTTTAGTTTTGTTGCAATTTAAAAATGTTGAGAGAACAGGTGTCAGTCTTGCTAACATCAGAAACGAACAACTGTTGTTGTCCCACAGTAGAAAAGTCATGTTTCAGGTGGAACTTCATGGTTGACAACATGAAAGAAAATACCCCCCTAGAAGCCCCGAATCTACTGTAAACCACCAGGAAGCTGACATTCAGGTTATTTCTCAACAAAACAACATGTCTAACTGAGGACGCGCAGGCCTTCAGTGCCTCATTAAGTCGTCTGTCTCTCGGGTAGCAGGATGCCTTGTGCACAGCTGCACTCTCCGGATGCAGCAAGAAGAGCACTCACAATACCAAAAAAAAAAAAAATAGACACTAGGCTCCCCTTTTTTTTTTTTTTAACTCCACAGTATCATCTTCTCTATGATGAAGGGTTTCATGCACACAAGTGTGCTCATAGCTGCAATTTGATACCCCTGAAGAGGTGAAATTTGCCTTGGCAGCTCATTAATCTACAGAAATAGAATATGAGGGGTTTTACTGGAAGTGTGTGATCATTTGGGAACGATTTAGCCAGCTGTGTTTACCCCTTATCAATGGCAGTGCAAGAACGATGCCTATTAACTGTGGAAACGGCACTTTGGTTTTGTTGCTAAATATAAAAGACTCAGAAGCGTAACGTTTTGTTTCTCAATCTAAGTAATTGTACACATTCTCGCTCCCAGGATTAATTGTTTTTCGCGTTAACGTTCTTGCTGCTTCATGCAAATTCTGGCGGCACACGTATGTGTCATTATGTGTTGGCAAATGATGTAGGACGTGGCAGGATGTGGTTTTTTAAGAACAAATGGCAGCTTATGAACTGGGTTAGAAGTGTAGGCAGATCATGAAGTAGCAAGTCATGAAGATAAAGGTCTCATCACCTGACACTGAATCACAGTCTTTTCTAGTGGAAAGTGTGTGCAAACTCTACGTAAAGCTTTACGAGTATGAATAGTTTTGATTTTGAAGAGACTGTTACAAAATATGGTTTCTAGAGCGTGAAACTGCGGGTAACAGAAGAGCAGAGCAGCTCAGATGTTACAGTGAGTTCGCTAAGGGGCTTGGACACATACTTTTCTGAATTAGTCAGTTTTAGGGTCATATGAATAATGAGCCTCCATGTTTGTTTTTTCCGTCTCAGTGTGTGCCTTAACTTTGGTGCCCTGGTAGAGAAAAGTACCATGTCTGTCCTGTTCTTTGAGACTACCACTGCTTTATATTCTGAAGGAAAGGTAAGGTCAGAGTCAGAGTCCTCTCAACCTTACTGGATATGTGAAAAAACATACATGTACCCAGGTATGATTGACATTTGACCAATAGAGGCTTTTGTATTTAATGTCAACAAGGTAACTATTCCTTTTATTTTACTTTGTGCTTTTGACCATGAGGTTGTCAATATTTGGATACTTTTCAATACCACGTGTTTAAAAAATCATGCCATCTCATCATCATTATCATTTACCAAAGCTTTCAAAAAGCCAGAAGTCTTTAACCATAATTTTAAAAGCTGCTCTGAGAGAAGAGAGCGACCACCTCTAGATTGCACACTGTTACAAACTAAAAAAGTAGGAATTAACATAATTTAGTAGTTGACATAAGTATAGCTAGTGTCTTGTCATGTATTACCTCTTACTGCAGATATTCATCACTAAAGGCCTATTAGTCAGGTGAAAGGTAACAACAGTTTGAAAATGCTGATTTGGTTTAAAATAATAATAAAAAAAGAGTTTCACCATCTGCACATATTTTGTCCACCCGAGACGAGAGCTCTGAAAAGTTACAAACATTAACTTTTGGGAGAATATCGGTCCCAGTTCTTTTATATAGAACAAAACTACGGTGTCCTCATCCAAATGATCAAATTATGGTGTTGGTTTTAGCTTAAAAAATCCACCTTAAGAAAAGTAGAAGTTAAAGACTTTTAAAGCAGATTGTAAAAGCACTGCTCGGAGGTATAATATGTAACATTTCCACTTTGAAATGTCTAAAATAACTAGACCTACGATAAAATCTCTGTTGAATCATGTACCAATCTGTTGACGACATGCCATACAACGAGCAATCTCACCTTACTCGAGCTAACAGCGTGTTTTAACACGTCATCTGTCTTCGGGGAAAAACTTCAGAAACACCAGATATAAAAATGCAAAAGTGAAGTTTTTATCTCGCGTAATGGTACTTGCTGATTTTTTTCATTAGAATGAGATGAGATACCATAACATGAAAGGAGTGAAAAATTGGACTTAAATGATTCAAAATGTGATGAGACTTTTAACAAAGCATGTCTGTGTTAAGCAGAGATATAAATAGAATTGTGAATATACATTTGTTAGGGCTGTGTTATCAGGATATGAGCATTCACATTACACGCACAACAAAGTCTGCATTTATTGCTAAAATAAGAAACAAATATTTGTCTTAAACAAGCAATGGTTTCTCACTTGCAGCGTGTGAACATTGTACCTTTTGGATGGCAGCCCTTGTAAACGTGTTGCAGACAAAGTTATTGTGTAAAACATGAAGAACAGCAGATATAAAAACTGGGTTAAAGCTTTGATCCACAATTGGATTTTTCTTTTTTAGTTCTTTTAATGCTTTTGTTAAGCAGATCATTTTACCGCACATGGCATATTTTTCTCATATCGAAATGAACACTGCCAAGCTAAATGCAGGTAGATTTTCCATTTGAGGAGTACATTTCAGAGTGTGTTTGATGTAGCTGTATCTTCACTCTACTGTTCCTCTGCATGTTGGAGTGTCAGGAGGGGGGGGGGGAGGGTAGTTGACACACGAACATACTCTGATGCACACGCAGATACAGGAACGCCAGCCACCACGAGCCACTGTTTTCTTTTAGTGCAACGGAACACAGTTGATCCGTGATCCCTACAGTCCGAGTCTTTATGGTTGGGAACACATGTGATCGGGTCAAACTGTCATGTGACTTTCCTCCATGCACTCATCGTGTCTGCATTGATCAGCAATCAGTAATTTACTGAATGTAACATTATCCCGCAGCCTGCTGTAGTCTGTCAACTTCTCCACACTGACTCTGTTAAACAGCGCTGCGATATATCCAAACACTGAAGATGTAACGCACGCTAAATTCAAACTCCCCATTTCACTTCCAACACGTTACCGGAGCAGCCAGTGGTGCACACACATCTGCTAAATGAACGCTCTGCTAATGTCACATGTTCAACATTGTTAAATCGAGAGAAACTATTTTTTTTGAAGCAAATATATTATTCACAGATGAATTGTTGATTTGGGTTTGTGACTTAGTCTGCATGGGTTGCACTACTACCTGGAAAAAAGGTGGACAAGTTACTTTTTTTCCCCCCCATTTATTGATATACCGAAAGAAAATGATCCGATCCAGTGGAACATAAACGCTTTTTAGCTCAATAAATTGTGCTGTATGTGAAGCAAACACTGTTCATTATTTTGACTGGTTAAAAATGATCTTGGCCGGTGAATTATTTCAATTGGCCAGTCAGTCAATAAGTTAATTTGCGACCCTGCGTGTGTATGTTTTCTGTTGTGAACATTACAAGATGTCACCCTTGAACTCGGAGAAGCCGGGACTTAACGTTTAGTCCACAAGTGAGATCCATTTTTAAAATTAGAAACCGTCAGTTTATTATCAGTCATCATACTTAAAGTTCATCAAACAGAAGTCTGAAATGTATTTCTAACCAATGAAGAAACCAACAGGTTGTGTTGTTATCTGCATGTGGATGGATTTACCTGCACACTCCTGTGGAAACTGTCTCCTCTCTATGCTGCTTTCTGAATCTGCATATGCTTTCTCGGAGAAGACATTTCTGGCTTCTACATTGTCCTCTTAAAGTCACTAACTTGGCCGTCAGCTCATTTTATGCGAGACAAGTATACTAATGAATGAGTGGATCAGTGTCCTGTTAGGTCGGTTGTGTCTGGAGCTGCACTTTACCTATTACAGTGACAACATGAAACTTTCCACAATGTTTTAGTTCACAGTTAACCGGCTATATTTACAATGTGTTGGAAAGGGGAACAAAATCCATATAGCTGCATGACAGATATTTGTCAGGGGGAAAGTCCTGTGCTCGACTTCACCCATCATGATATGAAAGGAGCCGATATGGATCAGCTGATGTGTGAGTGCACACACAATAAATGCTCTCTGCTGCACGATCACGCAAAATACATTTCAATAAGTTCATCTTCATATCTTACTATTATAACTTGGTCAAAAATGTAATGTAGTTGCTATTATTTTAAATTTTCCAATATGAGGATTCTTTCATAATTAAATTGTTTCCTCTAAAAAAATAATAGGGCTAGAAACATTTCAATACACCAGCACGTAAACGCCTTGCGCCTTTGTCAGGGTGTAGTGACACACCGTCGCTTATTGTGTCAGTTTGTCACTACACCCTGAAGAAGGTGCAAGTCCATACATGTTGGTGTATTTGAAATGTTTCTAGCCCTATCAATAAAGGCCTTTTTTACTTTTAACCATCCTGAGTGCCAGGACATGGATCATTTATGCTAATGTTTTCGGGTTTTAAGTTTACCTCCGTTATTTTTTTTTTTAAGTATTCCCTTCTATGAGCACTGGTGGTTTGAGGGATACCAGAAGCGCTCCTGTTGTCTCTCTCTTTCTTTCTTCTTGGTTCAGAAGTTGGCATAAAATCAAACACAAGATTTCTAATCTTTTCAGTTATTCTTTGATACAGTTGTTATGGTGAAAGCAGAGTTTTAAGATTTTGACTCATGTTTTTTTGAAGTATCCAATCACCTGTGATTATTCTCTTTGGTCATTCAACTGTGTGGTTCATTAAACGTAGGAGAAATGGGAAAAGTCACGCTCAAGCCCCCAGTGATATGTTAAAAATCTCTGTCTCTGTGTTACAAAAAGTCTGAAACCAAAAAAATGTTCCTCTGTGATGTAATTTGGGCTCCTAAAAAATGACAAAAGCAGCAAGTATCGAACGTTTAACCTCAATTGGAGTAAAAAGTTAATGACTAATCTGTTAAACTGGACTTTATTTTCTTAGGCAAAGTTCCAGTAATATTATTAACGTTTTCCTCTTTTATTAAATGATAAAACTTAACATTCCTGGAAAAAAGTATTCAAAGTTGTCATTCTGGTAAGTAAAAAAAAAAACTGCATGTAGTCATGAAAAATGTAGAGGGAATGTGAGTAAAGGAAGAAATGGTTCGGCAGGCAGGATGTAGCGCTGCAGGAAGTATGGGAGTGGGATACCTCCTCTCATCTCCTTCAGTAAGGTTACACCTCTTGCTATCTCTTTATTTCCTGCATCTGTCTGAGGCACACTCCAAATATTTTGACTCGCATGACTTAAAAGTGTTATCTAACAGATCGGCCTGTCACAAACTCTTAGCTCCCAGTGGAAGTCTTGCTGGCCCTTCTGCTGGGGTAAAATAAACCGAGATGTGATGTGTTATCGAAAGCTCTGCTTGGTGTACATTCTGCGTGAGAAGACACACTTTTTTTTTGTCTTAGTGCTTGAAAAAAAAACATGCACATGCTTACCTTTATGCAAACACAGATGTGGTGTGTAGGCGACAAAAGCACAGGATGTGTGGTTCTGGGGCAGGAAGAGGAGCAGGAGCTGAAAGAAGTGTGTGTGTGTGTGTGTGTGTGTGTGCGTGTGTGTGTGTTTCAGCAGGAGAGTTCCCGCTGTAGGTCTTTAACTGCTGCTAATATGACGCTGATAGGAAGCCGTTGAGCTACTTTTACAGCCTACACACTTGTAAAGTTTCTGCCTGTTAATGAAGGCAAGACGAGATTGTAGCAGCTCACTGGGCTAATAAAGAGGGAAGATGAAGCTGTTCTGATTAAAACACATGCCTTTCTGATGCTGTATACTTCTGTTAAAGGCCACATGTCAGCTTGGTTGTTACCTGTTAAACACACTTTTTACTGTCTACTATTTTTAACAATTAAAAACATTTGTAGTCACAGTAGGCACACACTTTAAAGGAGTTTTTGTCAGTTGGTGGTTTTGTTAGATTTCTATAGTAAAGGTTATATTGAGGTTAATCAGACAACAGTAACATTGCATGCTCATATCCAACAGTAAATAATGGTTGTATGTATTTAACCTGTATGTGGTTGAGGTAGTGGTCTTTAAGTGTTTAATGTGGTCTGGAGGCTTGAAATACTCATGTGCTGTGTGTTGTTTGGTGTGCTAAAGGGTTAGTGTTTACCACTGAGGCCATAAAGCTACTACACTGGGAGAGATGTTATTGGTGCTAATTCTATATTTATATTCCATATTTGTATTTTTATTGGTTATCATTGAATTATCAAAAGACAAAATGTTGACAAAAGTGTAAAAACTAAAAACTGGAAGATATCTTCTTACACATATTGGGATTGTTATCTAATGAAAAGCATAATTCTTCAGTGTATTGTCCAGGTTTTTTTTTTTTTTAACCTGGTATTTTGCATATTGGTAAATGTAGGTTCTGTGTTTTGATGGTTGTTGTACGTGTCTGTGTCACCAGTCGACATCAGGGAAATCAAGGAGATTCGTCCCGGACAGAAGTCACGTGACTTTGAGCGCTATGTGGAGGACTCTGCAGCTCGGCTGGACCAGGCTCATTGCTTTGTCATCCTGTACGGCACCGAGTTTCGCCTTAAATCACTCAGCCTGGCAGGTACGTGAAGACAACAACACAGGTTTACACAGCATCAGATATAACAAGAGCATTAGCTTTTACACTTTTTTTTTTTTTTTTTTTTACTATTTTTAAATGAATACCTCCTACCCATCAGTCCATCAGTTTACTCAAGTATGAGTCCCTTCTAAATTTCCAACCATCTTTTGTATTAAGAAATTGTTCCATTTATATTTGGTTATAAGTGCTTCTATATTATATTGCTGTATCTAAGCCAAGAATTAAGTGTTGCTTTAATTTCTGCACAACATGCCACAGAAGAACTGCATTACTCTTTTTGTCCATATTCCACCTCTCAAAGTGCCTCTTCTTTTTTCCCCTTTGTTAGATAGAAAATTGATGAAATAAATTGAATATCTTTATGTTTAAGATGACTGGCAAATACAGCCTAATTAAAATCATCAACTTTAAAATTCTGTTTAACATTAGCATCACAAGTTATCTATGGATCAGAAAAAGCACTTGTTCAACAGAGAATAAAAATGATCTGTAGCTGCAGCCTTAGACAACATCACACATCCTTAGATATGTGATCTCCCTCAGAAGAGAATCGAAGAGCTGCTCAACTTCAAACTCTATAAATAACGTGATCAGTCCTCCCTGTTTCATCATCCTTGCAGCTAATGTAATGTAATGTAATGTAATGTTAATCAAAGACTGAGCAGTCTATTATCACACACTGCTGATACTACACTTTCATTATTACTGGCATTGTAGCTTTAAATCTATTCCACTAGTTGTTTGTTGCTATCCTTCTTCTTCTCTCTGCATCTCCCGCTATTCCACTTTCTAAGCCCAACACAGTTTCAGCAGATGGCTTTTCATCATGAGTCTGGTTCTGCTCAGGGTTTCTGCCTGTTAAAAGGACGTTTTTCCTTGCCACTGTAACTTTGCTAAAGGTTGCTTAGTGCTGTGCTCATGATGGATTCACGTTGGGTCTTTTTTGTTTAAAAACACAAGAGGATCTTTTACCTGCTCTTTTGTAATGTGTCTTGAAATAACGTGTTATGAGTTGGGGCTATACAAGTAAAGATTGATTGATAAGGACGGAAAATCAGAAAATATTTTACCAAAGCCAGGTATATGCTGATTTGTTTTTTTTTTTTCCACAGCAACATCTGATGAGGAGATGACTATGTGGGTGAAGGGATTAAACTGGCTTGTGGCAGACACACTGAAGTCCCCAACACCACTGCAGATAGAAAGGTAAACAGAGTATTTATTTTCACATAGCCAGTTTAAAACTTGTTGAATGTGCTGTGGACAGATACGTAAAGCACAGATATCATATCAAGCTGTAATTTATGTATGCTCTTGCTTTTAGATGGTTACGTAAGCAGTTCTATGCTGTTGATCGCAACAGAGAAGACAGGTAAGTCCGCTAAGTGAAAAAATGTCAACTCCAAAGTGAATCAGATCTAGCCTCACAGGAAATGGGTGTCATTAGATGTAACTGAATTATTTGGTGCATCAGTTGTGGGTCCTTTTTCAAAAGCGTAACCTCTAGAGCAAGTAGGCTAGCTGCAGCAGGCTCGTAGGTGTCTGTGTGTGAGAGAGAGAGAGCTCTGTTGAGGTGTTGCGGAGGAACTAACCTCTCAGCCACCTCTTCCTGCTGCAGGAAACAGACTGCAGAGGATGGAGATGTACTGAGATGTTTGTCTGTAACATCCCTGACGAAAGCACAAGCCTTTGTTACGCTGCAGGGGTATTGTCCTCTCGGGCCAAAATTCCAGGCTGTGTAGTAAAAGTGAATCCGAAAAGACTCAGCAGAATATGAGAGGGCGTGTGTTTGCACAATTTCAGCTGGCCTTAAAAATGATATATCCGCACCTCAGCAGGATCTACGTGTGCAAATTAGAAGCCTAACCTGAACCCTTGTCGTACGTGCGCATCCATGTTTGTTTTTCTCAACAAAATGTGTGTATGCATTTAGGATATCCTGTAAGGATCTGAAGAGCATGCTGAGCCAGGTCAACTACAGGGTGCCCAACATGAGGTTCCTCCGAGAGAAACTTCCGGTAACCTCCTTCTACTTATCACAGAGAGCCCCCTTCCCCACTTCCCTTTCACTATGGTGTTGTAAGAAACTTAAGATGCATGATTTATTGTTAACAGTCTTTTTGCTGCTTGTTTTCCAGGACTCAGAGCTGAGGAATGGAGACGTGTCCTTCAGCCAGTTTGCCCAGCTCTATCGCAGCCTCATGTTTGACGCTCAGAAGAACGTAAGTGCAGTGATTTGATGCATGCGCAGACAGTTCTGTTCCAGCACTTTCATCATCTCCCCCATCCACACCCTTCCTCGCCCATCTGTCTGTTCTCAAATGGCTGTGGGATCAATATGGACCAGCTAAAAACCCACCAAACTCCTCTGGAGGCCATTAGGACACACACACACACACACACACACACACACACACACACACACACACACACACACACACACACACACACACACAAACACTCTCATAGATGAGAAGGCAGGCAGGCGGGCTGGGGTCAGATTAAATGCATGACCTCACACCCCCCCACGAATAACCATCCAGCCCCCCTACAGGATGTCAATCTACATGACTGACACTCTGAAAGGACCTCACTTTCAGTAATGAACTAAGATTTTCTCTTTTTGTCCATTCTTTCAGTTGGAGATCCCGTTTCTGCAAAGGTAAGTAAAAAGTAAACACACGCACAGCCACAATAAATCTCTGCAGCGTCACATATGTGTGTTTACTTTATCGGCCCATTGCTCTTCTCTGCCAGGTTCATTGACAGGCCAGAACAGAGGCTGTCCCTCGACGACTTCAAGAGCTTCCTCCTTGAGTCTCAAAAGGTAACATCTAGGAGCAGTTGAGCATCTAGTTCTTTGCAGATTTTGTTTAACCTGAACACTCTTAATACATACGTGTTTGCATGTGAATCCAGGAAATGTGGGCATCAGACAACAACAAGGTTCAGGAGTTTATGTTCAGTTACCTGAAGGACCCCCTGAGAGAAGTGGAGCAACCTTATTTCCACCAAGATGAGGTAAAGAAAAGCCTTCGCCACCATTTTTATAGTTTGTGTCATTTCAGGGTCTATTCTCACTAACGGAAAATGTGTAGAGGTGTTTTTCTGAGGTATGTTTTCCAATGCCCCCACAATATTGTGCTGGGGGCGGGAAATGCATTTAAATTGACATCGATAGCCATGATCTCAGCCTGAAGTACCTGCTCCCACACAGAGGTTATTGACTGTGGTGCTCTAGAGAGTTCTGCAGAAATAAAGAATGCTTTTTGTGGTCACCATAAAGACATCATTGACTCGAGACCAGAGGGAGCATGTACAAACCAGCCTGCAAGCGCTGGTATATATATATATATACTGATATGGTTTACAGGCCTTAGTTATGCTGACAATATGAAGAAAAAACATTATAACTGTGAACCCAACATGGGAAACCTACTATAGGCCAGAGTGCAGAATAAAGCAGAGCTGCTTGGTAGCCAGGTTTTTTGTTCTCATGGAAAAGCTAATGCCTTCGTGCTTTCAAGGGTGAATTCAAAGATCCACTTTTTGAACTTGATGCCTGACTTTATTGTTCAGATTCAAACAGGATTTTTAACCAAGTTTTGTTTTTGTATGAAGGACGTGAATGCAAGCACCCCTACCCATCTTGTTTTTTTGTTTTTTTTACAGTGCCTCTTCCTAATGACATTCTAATTAAACATGAAATAGACATAATTCATTTGCACTGTAAAAGTTTCTATACAAACAATCATTATCTCACCGAAGCTTTTGTAAACATCAAAGCCACGTCTCTCATAATAGTTGGTCTTATTTTTAGATTTAGTAATTGCATGGAAGCCAAACGTTTCCCAGTCTATCTCTGCTGAATTTAACAAAGAAATCCATAGAATTCAGCTCATTCACAGTCTGGATAAATATCTTATTCATGAGTGTCTTCTGACTGACTGATGCTGTTAAAAGTTCCCTCTAACGTTTACTGTGTCCACCTGTTAACAAGCATTCGTCACCTGCTAAATGATATACACTAAGCAGATTACATTATGTGCCAATTCAATTACATTTACATGAAATATGTGCTTATAGTTCAGGTGGAGTAATGCTTCAAATGTAATGATGTAGGTTTATTGTTCCTGTATTATTTTGACAAAACGGTAGTTAAACCACAAAGCTGTATTCCTTTTAGATTTTACACAAATACAAATATTTATGAAAGGATGTGGTTCAGGCTCTGATCCAGTCAAAGGGTACATCTGTATTTCACCACCAATCAAAGCTCTATTCAGCAACTATTTATATTACTTTTTACACCATCTCATCTGTATGCGAGTTCTGAGTAGCTGAAGTCTTCAGAGTGAATTTGTGAAGTTTGCTTGAGACTTTTGCCTGAATGGCGATTAAGACCGGTCTACTCTTTGAAAGACTTCCCAGAAACACACCAATTGAAGCCTGGAAGTAAACATTTAAATGAATCCTCATTCTCACCGCTTTCCTCTTTCCATTTTAGCTTCTGACATACCTGTTCTCCAAAGAGAACACCATCTGGGACTCTTCCTTGGACCAGGTGTGTCCCGATAACATGAACAACCCCCTGTCTCACTACTGGATCTCTTCTTCGCACAATACGTAAGAACGGACCCTCTGTAGCCCTCATTCATGCATTTCATACTGTCAAAAAAAAAAATCTGCTGTAATTAGGCCTTGGGAACATGTTAGTCTGACATCCTCTCTTGAAGCCTCTAGCCAAAGAGGGCGTTTGAACTGGCCCCATACATCAGATAAAAGTGTATAATTTAACAATTATGTTCCAGAATGAGATCCAGGCATTTATTTTGTTGGAAAATGTTTTTTTCCTCCAATTGAAAAGTGTGTGAAAGGCAGTTGAAATGATAACCTCTGCAGTAGATGTGAAACAATACCCTGTGGCGCAGCGGAACGAAAACTTCCCATGTAGCGTTGATAACATTTGAATCGACAAACTGAAAGCGTTTACGACGGTCAACAAAAGCCAGAGAAGCCTTTTGATAACACAGTATCAATGTGTTTGTGTTTCCACCATAGAAAGGGAGTGTGTGTGTGTGTGTGTGTATGTTTATGACGTAGTTCCTGACGTGTGACTTCTTTGAAAGACAGGTTTGTTGCGAGTGTGCTTTTGTGTGCACTCTTTTGACGGTACATACTTATTTTTAGCTACCTGACGGGAGACCAGTTTTCCAGTGAGTCCTCCCTGGAGGCATACGCGCGCTGTCTGAGGATGGGCTGCCGCTGTATTGAATGTAGGTAAACACACACACTCACTCCAGTTAAGACCTGAAGTTAAACACCATGCACCACTTGACTTTAAACCCATAATTAACTGTCTAACCCCCCCCGCCTCTTACAGTTCTACTTTTAATGCAGTCACCACACCCTTACCCATACAGTCAAACACACACTTGCTGTTACATAACAATGCTGAACATGGCCTTTACACCAGACCCTTGTCAAGCAGGTTTCTATGAATAGGACTGGTTTATAGTGGGTTGAAGGGTCACTTTACCTCAAACAAAAGTAAACAAACATGAGGTGAACTTGTGTCTTCAGGTTTACCAGTCTCAAAGCTCCTTTTGATAATGTATTATGCATGTGCTTTTAGGAATAGTTTGTCGTTGGAATTACCTTACCTGCATGATTTTTATTAATTTTTTTTCCAGTGGACTGCTGGGATGGTCCAGATGGAATGCCAGTAATCTACCACGGACACACCCTCACAACGAAAATCAAGTTTTGTGATGTCTTGACCACCATCAAAGAGCACGCCTTCGTAACGTCCGAGTGAGTCTCCATGAGCACAACCCACATTCTTTCTGCAGCCACCTGTGTAGATGAGATGATAACAGAAAGATAGATGGCAAAGATACTGAAACAATGTGGACATATTACAGTTGCATCATTTTTGATTGTAGTATGAAAGAAAATGAGATAAGACAATCTCATAGCAGAAATTAAAAGCACATTTTTGTGAAGTTGCGACTCTCAGAACTTACCGCGTGTTCCTCCTGCAGCTATCCTATCATCCTGTCCATCGAGGACCACTGCAGTATTGTGCAGCAGAGGAATATGGCGACTCAATTTAAGAAGGTGTTTGTAGACATGCTGCTGACCAAAGCAGTGGATATCGCTGCAGATGGTCTGCCGTCACCCAACCAGCTCAAGAGGAAGATCCTCATCAAGGTCAGGAACAACCCTTTTCCTATTTCATCCGCATAAGAAGTGTGAACAGACGCTTTTGTTTGCACTGTTCTGGTTGATAAATGTTTCTAATTGTCTGCAACAGCACAAGAAGCTTGCAGAAGGCAGTGCCTACGAGGAGGTGTCCACTTCCACTCCCTACTCAGAGAACGACATCAGCAACTCCATCAAAAATGGCATCCTGTACCTGGAAGACCCCATTAATCATGTCAGTAGGTTTATTGTGTATAAAGGTTTGTCAAGTGTGTTTGTAACTGTCATCAAACAGCTTGCAATTCTTTTCCACTAAAATGTAAAAACGCTTGTTTACGGATTATTTCTTATTTTGTACGAGCCCCTTTGAGACGTATCACAGAAGATTAAAATCTTCTTGTCTACTTTTCAATGCAGCACATGGGTCTTCTGAATATTTAATGTAGCCATTTCAACCAACTGTCTCCCTTCATCCTCTCTTTTCCTCTCATCCCCCCCCCAGGAGTGGTACCCTCATTTCTTTGTCCTGACCAGCAGTAAAATCTACTACTCAGAGGAGACCTCGAGTAACCAGGGTAATGATGATGAAGAAGAGCACAGAGAGGTTAGTAGGGCCGGCATGCTGCTGATATACACAGGGGTAACAATCACTTGTCCTGATTTTGAACATTAACCTGTCTGTCAAGCAAAAGGAACTGCATCAAATATATAAAGCATCAGAAAAACTGTATTTCTGGAAGAGATGAGGGAACAGTTTAAACTAATGCGGCTTAGTTAACTTAAGCCCACGCTTGTGAATAACCATTGATAACCTCTCCCTCTCTTCTCACCCTCCAGGTGTCCAACGGTATGGACCAGCACGTGACAGAGAAATGGTTCCACGGGAAGCTGGGTGCAGGGCGGGACGGGCGGCAGATAGCTGAGAGGTTACTGTCCGAGTACTGCCTGGAGACCGGAGCTCCTGATGGCTCCTTCCTGGTCCGAGAGAGTGAGACCTTTGTGGGAGACTACACGCTGTCTTTCTGGTACAGTGTACAGGAGTTTGCCTTCTGAGTATACGAAAACTATTTTGCACGTTTTGCACTCGCTTGTGAAAAATGCTGTTGTCCAGACAGTCATTATTTTGGCTTGGCAGTTCTAACATTAGCATGTACATGTATGATAATATTGCAACTATGAAAGTACATTTCTAAATCATATTCCCAAATAATATGCAAACAGTGTTTGCAGTTTATTAAAAACAGTAAAGTAAATCCTCGTGACATTCTCTTCAATCTAACACAGAAATTAAATTGTTGCTGACATGGACTGTATGCATTAGTGACAAACTGTCTCATATAGCAGCAGACCTAACTCATGCAGTGTGTTCTGTCGGGTTAACTTTTACCACAAACAGTGACATGTTGACTGATCAATCAATGTCAATCCCCCCATGATTGATTTTTACAGTGTTGTCACGGTCTGAAGGGGGATCATTTGCTTTCTTTTAAAAGGCTCTAAATAAGTGGGGTTATTTTAAAGCAAATGAATCTCTTTGAGACATGTGGTGGAAAGAAAGGTCATACAATCAGCAGACAATATGTTAAAAGGTAACAAGGAAGGGATAGTGTTTTCAAGTATGTCAGCTTAACCTGTAAACAACTGAGAAAAATAAGTGAAGGTAGAAGTTTTTTTTTTTCAAATTGTGCATCTTTGACTTTTTCATCACCAGGCGTTCAGGACGGGTGCAGCATTGTCGCATCCACTCTCGTCAGGAGGCAGGCAGCCCCAAGTTCTACCTGACTGACAACCTGGTGTTTGACACGCTCTTTGCCCTGATCAACCACTACCAGCAGGTGGCGCTGCGCTGCAATGAGTTTGAGATGAAGCTGACTGAACCTGTGCCTCAGACCAACGCTCATGAGAGCAAAGAGTGCGTGTTGTTCAGTATTACCACAGTTTGGGAAAAGTTTAAATATCTAAGGGTCTCACTTGAAGATTTTCTTTCTTATAGCCTTTTCTTATTAACTTAAGCTTCACTGAATAACACTTTATTACTAGAGTGTAAATAGACTAGCTGATGCCCTCATCTAAAAAAAAGTTGTAATTATTTATTAATTTATTAATTATTAATTATCTGCCATCTATCTATATTTTGCTGTTTGTCCCAGGTGGTACCATGCCAACCTCTCCAGGAGCCATGCAGAGAACATGTTAATGAGGGTTCCTCGTGACGGGGCTTTCCTTGTGAGGAAGAGGGCAGAACCCAACTCGTTTGCAATTTCATTCAGGTAATGCCCCCCCTATTACCTTTTTAAGCTATAGTTCATTTATGTATTTCTGTCTTCTAAGAACATGGATAAAAAAAAAACCAGTATACACCTTTGAAAATTCTTCACGTTCAGTTTTCTTTGCATAGTAATTATTGGCATGCCTGCGATGTCTTCATTGTTGTGTCTATGCTTTGTATTACAGAGCAGAGGGAAAGATAAAGCACTGTCGGGTGCAGCAGGAGGGTCAGACCGTGGTGCTGGGCACCTCAGAGTTTGACAGCCTTGTAGACCTCATCAGCTACTATGAGAAGCATCCTCTGTACCGCAAAATGAAACTGCGGTATCCCATCAACGAGGACACACTGGAGAAGATAGGCACTGCCGTGAGTACCACTATCAATGGCATACTAACCCAAGACTATTAAGCTGTTATCTGGGTGAGAAATGTCTAGTTTGTATTCTGCATTCTGTGGACTAGTAAAAAAAAATCTTCTTGACACACATTCTGACATCTTTTAGGAGCCAGACTACGGTTCACTGTACGAGGGCAGAAATCCAGGCTTTTATGTGGAGGCCAACCAGATGCCAACATTTAAGGTGAACATCCAGCATGGTCAAGCTCGTGTCGGGGTGAATTTTGTGCCTTCTGACCGGCATATCGTAATGACAATGACTTTGCATGCCATAACCCTCTGTTGTGTGGTTTCAGTGCACGGTGAGAGCCATGTACGAGTATAAAGCCCAGCGTGACGATGAGCTCTCCTTCACTAAGAACGCCATTATCTCTAATGTGGACAAGCAGGAAGGAGGATGGTGAGTGACCTGCTTTCCATTTTAGTCAGGAAGTTGCTCTTAATTATCCATTTAGACAAATCGTATCTGACTCTTGACGGGGTGATTTTTTTTTTTTTACCGGATGGGGCTATGTTATGATATTGATTTAATGCTTACATCATTTCAAAGTCAAAGAGCCATTAATATTAACAGAACAATATCCTCTTCATGGGCTTCTAAACATATCTGTTTTTTACATCTCAGGTGGAAGGGGGACTGTGGAGGGAAGAAGCAGCTGTGGTTTCCTGCTAACTACGTGGAGGAGATCAGTCCGTCAGCCGTAGAGCCTGACAGAACTGTGAGGAGAAACATTAATGACACGAAGACCTGATTTAAAATAACTTCTCTCCTAATCATTTTTCTCTTAAGCAGGAGATGACAGAAAACAGCCCATTGGGAGATCTCCTGAGGGGAAGTGTGGACGTGTCTTCCTGTCATATTGGTGAGTGGTCCAACCACTTCCTATTTGACTCTGTGCTGCAGGGCTGCAAAGCATGTCGTCACCTTGCCACAAGGAAATCTATTTCTCTAGCTGTCAATGCATAAACATAATCCCTACCCTCTTTCAATATTGAAGAATGCCATAGTCACCTAAAACAATTGCACGTTTTGGCCGTAATCAGCTTTTTTTTCCGTTTTTCTATATTATGGATTTACTTTTCAGAATGGTATCCAGTATTGTATTGACATCATGCAGTCGAGTCAACGCACACCCATTAGTGCTGGCACATGCAGCCATGCATTGTTGTCTCTGCTAACCACTGTTTATACCTGAGACTTTTTCTAATCCTTTTGGTGGCTGTGTGGCTCCATCTAGTGGCTAATGTCTTTAACACTTTGTTCCAAGGCTTCCTCTACATGATCACTGACAGAAGCTATTGTTTTTCTTTGGAGAAAGTGATGACACTAAGCTTAATCTTGAAGCTGGCTGCTTTTGGTTTAGCAAATGACTGTACTGGTAGCTGCTCAAAGTTCAAATTGTGTCAGTTTTAAACCCGGTCCATTTCAGCTTTTAAAAAAAAAAAAAAAAAAAAAAAAAGATGTTTTTACAGCAAACTCAATCAAATTAAAAATAATCTAAAACAGTTTAGAAATAGAATAAATGCACTTTTGAGCTTTGCAAAGAATGTTTGCTTTTCTTCAAGACATTTTTTTCAATTTTTGTTTACTCTGTTTACTTAAGTTTTAGATTCTTTTTTATTGAAATTTTATTTCCTACAATTTGCATCACTACAAATCATTTCACATTTGTTCACGTTGGATGGTGAATTATTTTGGTCTTTTGCTGCAGAAAATCTTTTTGAATCCTGCTTTTTCCTCATTATTCCTTTCTCACATCTTTTTCCAACCATTTTTATTTATAGTTGTGCGTACTGACGGAAAGGGCAGCAGGCCTCATGTCTTCTCCCTGGTGGCCAATACCTCACTGCGGACAGGCCAAGTGCTGGACGTTGCTGCCAGCAGTCAAGAAGAACTCAAGGAATGGGTGTTCAAGATCCGTGAAGTCACTATGACGTCAGAGGCCAAGGTAAATTTATCTGTACACGTATATAAACATACAGCTCCAAGGAAAGATTTGTAACATGCTTGTGCTAGATTGAAAGTTCCAGGGGCCTTTCATGAGTTATAGTTGCCCTATGAAGGCTGGAGATATACTTGCTGTTGCACCTTGTACGCAACAGGCTTCATTATGAATGTAACTGAATATAAACTAAATCATATGCAAAGCATGTTACTGCAGGATACCTGTAGGGGGCGCAGCATAGAGCTGAGGTCGTATTCACAGCTACCTAATGTGTGGGATGTTAACAACAAACATGGTGACCCTCGAGGAGGTTACTACTGAGTTATTCTAAGTACAGTACAAATTTAATATTCACTTCAATAATTGATAGAAACATCAGATCAGCTCAAGAGACTGATAACTGGTGGACACAACACACAGTTAGCACCATCCGCACTCTGTGTCTCCTACAGTTTCCTCTATTCACGGACGGTGTTTCAGTTTAACAAGAGAGCATATCAACTGCTGACGTTCAGCTGAGAGAGTCTGTACATGTCGTAGTTAAAAGAGCTGTTGAAAACAAGTCCTCTTGAATGCCTCTTGTAGTTTTTCATTATAATGTCAAAATATACTCCTCAGATATGTATTGAATGAAAAACCAGGCAAATACAAATACAGCAACGGACGCACTCGGCTAAAAGTCCCTGGTCTGCAGGGTCCGAATCATAGCTCTCGTTTCCATTTAGTTTTGCAGGTTTGCATGTCGATTTCTTAAACAGAACTTACCTGTCCCAGATATTTTGACAGACATGTTTGTCTCTGAGCAGTGACATTGACACATTGCACAGATGTGGATAATTATGGACTTGGTTTATCAGTCTGTCTTCATAACCTTCTGCCCTTGTTGTCCCTGCTGCTGTGTTGAGACATCTCCCTGACTCTTACACAACCCTCTACTGTTGATGTCCGTGCTGCATCTCACGTCCGCTTCTTGTTAATTTTGAAGGATCTGCACAGTCGATGCAACAAACAGACACAGGGGACGTGTTGCAACCATCGTGTTTATGTGTACGCTTAGTTAAAAGCCCGTTGAACAGTAGTTCTTTGTATTGTGCCTCGACCCAAACAGTAGTTGTTTAAGGCACTGAAAGCTTCAGGTTAGCCTTAACGTCAAACTGATTCTCACAAAAATAAACAGAAGTGATGTGTGTCACTGTCACCGGTGCAGCTGAGTTTAAAGTTTGTCTCTGTCACCAGCTGGAGGAGGGGAAGATGATGGAGAGGAGGAAGAAGATTGCACTGGAATTATCCGACCTGGTCATCTACTGTAGGCCTGTGCCGTTTGATGAAGACAGTAAGGAAACACTACAAGCATTTTAATGTACACATGTGACTGACTGTGTACATAAAGCACAATACAAGCAACACACATGTCCAGGATCAAAACAGACAAGTCAGGCCTGACTTCTCTCTCTGCCCTCTGTAGAGATTGGCACCGAGCGGGCCTGTTTCAGAGACATGTCATCCTTCCCTGAGACCAAGGCAGAGAAGTACGTGAACAAGATCAAGGGGAAGAAGTTCCTGCAGTACAATCGACTGCAGCTGTCCAGGATCTACCCCAGAGGGCAGAGGCTAGACTCCTCCAACTACGACCCTCTGCCTATGTGGCTCTGTGGCTCCCAGCTGGTGGCACTGAACTTCCAAACAGCAGGTATCCACTTTTTAGTCAGTTCAGATTATTTTTAAAAAGCATTCAGAAATGTTCAATACTGCTATATTCTTATTCTTCCTACCTTCATCTTCCAATTTCTTTCTTTCTCCATGTGCAGATAAGCCCATGCAGATGAACCAGGCTCTGTTCATGCTGAACGGAAGAAGTGGCTACGTCCTTCAGCCACTCATCATGAGGGACGACAACTTTGATCCCTTCGACAGACACACGTTACGAGGCCTTGAGCAAGTCACCCTAGACATAGAGGTATGGTAATGTGAGGATTCGACTGTGTATGAATGCACTACGCCATAGTGTAAAAGGTTTCATAAAACAGAGGTGCAAAAATGCACAGGTGGTGAGGCAAGTTGAAGAGCACCGGTGCATGTTTGTATTTCTTAAACATAGAACTGATGATAGTATAAACTTGGTGAGCTGATTTGCCTGAGTGTTAGCAGCAGCAGCAGCAGCAGTGACACAAAACTCATGGACACATTCAGGCACTTCACACCCGCAGGCTCCTGACGGCTGCAACTGGAGTCAAACTCTCATAAAAGTTTTACCCTTAAGATGCATCTTATGACATATTTTGAAATAGTCAGACTTATATTTTGCAGGAGTATAATTATCTTAACATTCGATAAGAATAAATGGACACAAATGAACCTAAAGGAAACTTACCTGACAATGTTACTTTTTTTAAACATCGATGTAATCCAGTATTTGTTTACAAAAGATTCAAGGATACAAACAAAGAAGACTGCTTCTAGCTTCTTTGTGCACTTGTAATTCCTTTTAAATCAAATGTGTAACCAGATAGGCTAAAAAAAAAAAAAAGGGAGTTTTAGTAGCTAATTGTGGCTAACATTCGTGTTCAAGAACCCCTAAGTCACCCACATACTGTTATGGGATCTGTACTTACTAAAGACTATCACATAATATGAGATGATGAAATCAGTAACCTGTATTTCTCTTCTTCCCTGAAGGTTTTGGGCGCCAGGCACCTGCCCAAGCACGGACGAGGCATAGTCTGCCCTCTAATCGAGATTGAGGTGTGTGGGGCCGAATACGACAGTGCCAAGCAAAAAACTGACTCTGAAGGTGAGTGCTGCTCTAAAATGTAACCTTAGGTGTGTTAGCCAGTAAAGTGACAACTCTGCCTTAAGTGAAGGAATGAGTAGTTTGATATCTCACTTGTGAAATTTCCTGTCTGGATGTAGAAAAACAGGAAATCTTCCAAACAACAAAGTGTGGGAATATAAAAGATGTTATGACAAAGTTTTATTTCAGTGTTCTAAAGTGCAACTAAGCTGAAATCATGTGTCACATAGTTGTAAACATAAATGTAATGTAACTAAAAATGTTAGTGGTATAATTGTTTCCGCTGCTGTTACTGGAAAAAAGTAATTCATTCATGTTGTACATTTGTAACTTTATTCTCTCTCTTCCCCCCCCCTCCCCTTCTTCTCAAGCTGATAACGGTCTGAACCCCACATGGCCCCGCAAACCATTCCAGTTCACAGTGTGCAACCCCGCCTTCGCTTTCCTGCGTTTCGTGGTTTATGAGATTGACATGTTCAATGACCAAAACTTCCTGGCTCAGGCCACATTCCCCATCCACAGCCTGAAGACAGGTACACACATCGTCACTGCACTCCCATCGTCACTGCACTCCCAGACATGACCCCCAACCCTTATGCCTGATCAGTGCTCTAATAAAGGCCTCTGGTCTCCCATTTGTTTTGTGTGACAACAGGTTACCGGTCAGTTCCTCTGAAGAACAGCTACAATGAGGATCTGGAGTTGGCCTCTCTGTTAGTCCATATGAACATCATCACAGGCCGGGTGTGCAGCCTTTTCTTTTTTCCCGTTGACGTTTTTAAACTGAACAAACACCATTTGCACCAAAGGATGCGTCAGACAAGCGCAAAGAAGCCAAACTGTTGAATAACTATTATTGTGGACATCAAACGTCACTGACATGTTGATAGATATGTTGTATTAAAGCCAGTTATGGTGGCTTCTTGGAGTCTGGGCTGGTTTTCTGGCTGGCAACATCACAAGACATGTCAAATAAATAAGGCCAATTAAAGAAGTAAGATATGTGTTCATTTTAGGGGTTGAAAGGTGGGCTGGTTGTTTCCCCCCCCGTTCTCAGTTTTAACGCTTAACTAAGATTAGTTTAGACTTTGACAAGGGCGGTGAAGAAGTAAAATGAATTTATCAACAATGACAAGTGTTGCTTTAAAGAGAGGACAGACCACATGCTTCATTTCTCTCCTTCTCGTCCTCTCAGGATGAAAACGGGGAGGTTCTGAGCCCGTTCCTTGCAGTCGGGGCCGCGCCGCTGACGGCATCGGTCCAAGCAGGGCAGGAACGTTTGGGGGACCTGAGCTCGGTGTCTTCCACCTCGTCTAACATGTCCCCTCTGCCCCAGTCGCCAGCCCAGGCCATGGCCTACAGGGGGAGGGAGGGCTCTTTTGAGTCCCGCTACCAGTCCCCACTAGACGACTTCAGGGTGTCCCAGGAGACACTGTTGGACCACATGGACTCAACGAACAGAAGGTAAATGTGAGTTGTGTTGTTTTTTTTGGCTTTTCACTGCTGCTTGTTGTAGTATTCCGACCACTTCTACACCACCTCCTGTCTTTGTCTTCACCTCAGGATGTTGCGGAGGACCAGAGTGGGTGGAGAGAACCGCGTCTAAAGTCCAAGCCAATCAGGATGTATTTCTGTTACAGCCCCCCACCCCCACCCCCACCCCCTCCCACCCTGCCTCACCCAGTCGCCTCTCCCCGTACTTATGATGTCACTGACTGCTGTGAACACTGTTTCCATGGAAACGCCCACCACCGCTTTGGCCTACATTTCAGGCAGCTCTCTCTCCCTACCATTCTCCAACTGTCCCCCCCTCCCTCCTTCACTCTCCTTCTCTCTCCCCTCCCTGCCGGCCCAGTCTCCTCACCACTCGCCTGAACTGAAGGAGAGACTTGGACATAAGAGTAGAGGGGTGAGTGAGGGCTGAGAGGAAGTCGAAGCCGTGGACAGGAAGGAGAAACGGACATTCACATGAGAATGAAAACAAGGCTGAAAAAGTTCCAGCTCTGGACTAGTGGTTTGGGAGGCATGTTGTCCTCTCTTGAGTTTTTTTAGGTGTGCACAACAGCTGCCTAGTGCGGAGGCTAAGACCAGGGAGAGAGAGAGTTTTAAAAGGTATCAGTTTGAAACTGTTCCCCGGTTAGGTTTCTTCGCTCTTCTCTATTTGACGTATATGAATATATGTATTTATTCCTGCTGTGCTGTTGGCCAGAGAACAGCAGCAGCTGACCTGCTCTCAAAGAGCTTCTGTCTCCATGTTTTTAATTATTATAATTATTTAAACCTTTAAACATTCAATTTCATAATGTGACTTTCCTTGTTTTTTTTATGTTTATGTGTAAAACACGAGGGCTCTCTATGGCTATTTTAGTGTCTCTTTCTTCTCTGCTTTGTGGAGGAAATGATGCACCTCCTGTCTAACTCCCACTCATAGCCTGGAGGAAAAAAAGTTTTTTTTCTTTTTTTGATGACATCATGAAGAAGTCATAGCCTTTTTGTGTTGGAAACAGGTAGAGAACAGGCAGCATCATATGTTATGTCTGCATACACCAACATACATGTGCACGCTTTTTTTTTTTTTTTTCTAACTTACATTCCTTAAACACTGCACATCATTCCACTTTCCTGCATTGCAGGGGCCTTTACAAGCCAGTCAGACACATTTAAACGTCTGTCCCCCTCAATAGTCTTACTGCGTTCTGATCATGTCTGTTAGGGATCCAACACCACGCTGTGTGATAAAACAGGACCAGGGATACATGTTGGTGACTGTTGGTGTTTTTACTTGTATCATCTACCAACACATTCATGGGCCATGTTATTGGCAGAAAACGAGTCATTGTAGGAACGGATTATAGAACTGCATGGTTATGGTTGGAAGGAAACAATTTGAATAGCCAATGTGTTCAATTCTCAATGTTTCTTTTCTGGAGCACACCTTTTATTTGTCTTCATTTACCGGCAACATTGTGAAGGTTTCAAATTCGTCAGTCAACTTTACTGTAGTCTAGAGATTAATATGGTTTTACGGTTTACCCCATTAACTTTATGATTAGATAGGATATAATGTGTTTAATGTCATTTCATGTCTTAATAGATTAATGGCCCCTTTAATTCAGTGTTTTTAAGTTGAGCAGAACTTTCCCCATAACTGATACAGCTCTAATATTCCAGTGAGTGTAAAGAAACAGAATGAATGATGATTTGGTTTCAAATGAATTGTGGGTTTGATGTTCTAAACATAGGCCTTTTTTTTTTTTTTACTGCAACCAGCTGTATAAGATGTAGAAATGTGTCCCCTACCTTTATAAAGTGATACAGTATTATTGAGGGAGTGTGAATGTCTGTATCACCAGTGTGCAGCATAATGAAAAAGTGCAGTTTGCACCATGCTGGTAACATTTTGCTGCCCTACAGAGACGATAAGGTCATTTGTTTTTGTGTGTGTGTCTTTGCTCATTGATGTTATGTAGACTTTAGCTACAGCATCAAGCTGCTTCTCAAAAAAACATTTTGGGATTTTAAGTTACACTGCCATGTAGTGCAGTTCTGTTGCCACTGCACATGAATTTATTAGTGATGGAATGTGCAGGATGTGTGTAAACAGCTGCCTGTCAGTGAAATGTTAGAAAACACAGTTAATCATTCAGACTCTCATTTTGCCTTGTATTCATTTATTTTCATCTAGCTTGGTAATTGAGATTTCTCTGGAGATAAAGGCCGGGTCCTCATTTCCTGATTTTGTGATGTGAGAGCATGTTTGGAGAAGCGTGCAGTCTAAGCGGCATATTTTGTCGTGGCTGTGTTTTTGTGGCAAAAGGATGACAAAGGTGCCTGGGGGGGAGGGAAAGGGGGTTTAGGGTCTATGAGAAAGCCCATACATAGCCACTGGTGTTATCTTTCCATGTTTAGATCAGAAATAGTGTTTTCTCTGCTCTTATGTGATGACATTATTCAGTATTTCTGCTCAGTGTTTGAACACTGAGACACACCTAAGCCATACAGTATGACTTGAGGTAAACGCAGGGAATGGAGTGAAAACTTGAGGTCTTGATGAACAGTTTTAGCATCTTGTGGTTTTCACCCTGATAGTTATTCCAAAGCTCTCCTTTTTTCTTTTTTTTTTTTTGGCCCCCTTCCTTGGTCAATGAATGGTAGTTGTGGAGAGTTCCCCCTCTGTTGCTGGCCTGTCTGCTAATGTCTATGTGCCTCCGTCTGTATACACTACATAAAAGCCACATCGTTCAATCTCCCCACTGGGCTTTAAGCACCTGCACAGCCACGCTACACCCTTACAGGTGTCGTCTTATTTTGACTGTTTGGAACTCCTCAGTTTGTTGTACCCTTAATGTCTGATCAGAGTAAGCACCAACCAACCTGTTCAGAGGTCTCATAAACCAGAGTCACTCAGTGCATATATGTGGGTGTGCAGGGCCCTTCAGCCTGGTCATTTTTTTTTTTTACTTTTTTTTCTCCTCCAATTTTGTCTGTTTTGTTACACATGGTCTCATTTACATTGCCTTTCTGTAATGTGCCTAAACTATTGAGAGGAAAATAACTCATTTTAATTTGCCTTTCATATGAAACATATTCAAGCCTGAAAAGTAAATAAAATACTTACTAGTTTATACTACTTTGTCTTATTTTTCACTTTTTTTCAGCATGTCAGACTGAAACGGACATGTTACAAGCATGACAGCAGGTTAACTGAACTGTTTGAGCTGAAACATTACAGAGAAAAAGAATCTGCTGCCATTTTGATAGAAATTTGATTTAATAAGCAATGTTAAAGTTAAAAAATGCTGATGTCCCTCATAACCAGCCCCTTAGCTGGTGAGGCAAAATGAGCGATTAGAAATGTCACCTTCGGCTTTAGAAAGTGTAACCATTATTAGCGGGTTCAAAACAGGGAGAGGACCAAAATCAGAAGTGAAGTTATTTACAATGAAGACCCCACTGCAACCGTTTAGTCTTATTAATTTGCAAGATAACTTATGTTGGTGTGGCCAAAGCATTGTTTTAGTCTATAGTGAAGATCAGGCAGAAATTAAGTTCCTAGTACCACCATCGTCCTCTTCAATGTACACCATACGACTCAAAGCCACACATTTATTACATTCTTTTTATTCTGCAAATACCACCTGTAAAAATTATACATCAAGCCTAAGCATGGAACTCTGGTAAAAGTTCACAGTTCTTTTACAGTCAAATTTATTTCATAGGAAAGTTCCATTAAAAACAAAGATACGTACACGTCGGTGATGAAAAGAAGCACTTGATGCTACAACACAAACCAGGTTCCACCCAGGCAGTCTTCTAAAGTGTGGTTTTCTTTTTTTGTCTTTCAACAGCAGGGTGCTTGCCTTCTTTGGATGACAGATTGTGTTTCTCTTACAGTTTAATGTCCTTTTTAATCAAATGTCATACAGCTAAGGCAAGAAAAGAGAAGTAAAAAAAAGAAAGGAGATCAATAATCAAATGAACATCAGTGCTGTGTTTCAGATATGACACTGAAAAGCCTGGCTAACATTTAAAGTAAGCTGCAAGCATGAAGTCAAAGTGTATGAGTGCAAGTTGGTGGCAAAAGGAGTACGAGGATGACACAATAGAACAATTATTTGAATCACTTTAAGGCTGAGGCAAGCACCCTGGAGCAGAGCAGAAACTGCGCCGGTTTTCGTACCCTTAAACAAACTGTCACACAATCCTCAACTGAGTCCGGTTTGGTCGATTACTGTCCAACAACTCACCCCCAAACTCCTGCTCAACATCTGAGGAGGTCTCAATATGGACTAACTTTCTCCCTCCACATCCACTTTTACTTCTTGTCTCACATCACAGCAGGCAGGCAGAACAACCACAGTAGAGCAACGCCGCCCCTCCCTCCTCCACTTCAGTCTGCAGTGGAACTTCCTTCTGGAGGGAAAATGGTGGATTGGGCGGGGTGGGGGGGGCTTGAGATGTGGCGTGCAGCGGAGGGGCAGACAGAACGGGAGTGGGTTGGTTGACGGATGGATGGGGAAAAGGGGGGGTATAGTGGCTTTAGTGTCCATCTCACGTAGTGGGGGAGGTCATGCCTACCTCTAGGGGTGTGAGCGAGGAAGGAGGGAGAGGAGGGATGGGTGAGGATGTTTTTTCAAGGTCCATCCAGTGATCCTGTTACAGCCGCATCTGCTGTCGCTCCCTCAGACTGCCGACACAAAGACCACCTGCATTGTGAGCCCCATCCTCAGACAAAAGGCCTCTTCAGTCAGTTCCTGTTGTAATCAAAGTAAAACAAATTAAAAAAATCCATCGCTATGACAACAAGCTCCATATGTAGAAATCTTTTCCATCATTATTCACAGTGAACTGGTGTGAGACGTGCTTTTGTTTTACAGTCACAGCACGCCTCGTTCCTCATTGAAGGGATCTGTGTCATTTGCATGCTTCACCTGGGGGACAATTACTCATGTTGTGGTTATGATTAATCTCCTTTAATCTCCATTGAACCACAAGGTTTCCACATCCCAATTAAAAAGCTAATCAAAACTAAGACAAAACAAGTCATAAAAAAAAAAAAAAAAACACATCATTTGAATTTATAGTATCCAATATTTAAGTAACCAATTTAAAGCTGTAACAATCAGTCAATCAAATGAACTGATTAAACGAGTT